CGAGTAGCAGTGCGTCTCGCTGCGAGAGAATGTCAGAAATGCAAAATTGATAGAGCTCGACCCGAAACCCCGCTTATGGGTCCGTAGCCGCAGGATAAACCAATAACCCGAATCACTTTCTTTTAGGTACAGCTAACACCGAGCAGACGCCTCACCTACGGGAAGAGGAGCACCGTGCTTCTAGAAAGCAATGGAGGAAGGTACAATAAGCGTAGCACCGTTTCTGGAAGAAATTGATTCTCCGAGTATGGTATCAGCCTGTAAAACCGTTGCATGTTGGAGAAGTCATGCTAGTTGTGGACAGCAACATACATCGTTCTCGATGGCCGTTGGGCTTGGTGACTCAAGTGTTTCCTGGTAAGGACCTACAGGTCCGAAGTGCAGAGGCTCGAGCCCGGGCCGGGATATTTAAACGGCCCGCTTGTTTGTTGGCGAAATTGGACGTTGGCGAATCTGTCTAGATTCACGGTGGCCGGAATGTTGGCAAATCTATTCGATATAATAGTTGAGTTATCGTTTGCGTTTAATACTACCATAAACTCTGTAAAATTTGGCCCTTCTGACAGCACTGCTCCTGCTGGAAAAATTCGAAATGTGTCATATCTAAATGTTTGTCATCGCCACGATTTAATAATAATTCTTGAATCATGTGTCATCGCTAGTTTGTGTTAACTGATTTGTGTGTTCTTGTCATTTTAAATTCAACCAGCAAGGAGATGAGGGATCAAAACGAATGTAAGAATATTTTGTATATTTAATGAACCTTAAGACTTATATTGCATATTTAGAAAATAAAACTGTGCATACTGCGCTGTGCTGTGTCACAAAGTTTACTCATGTGTAAAACTGAAAGTACGCCTGTTTTTATTTCTTGACTCAATCTATGCTGGAACATGCACTTTTGTTCAAAGTATTGATGACACATGTTTTTCAATTTCCCCTGTTGTTTTTCGACAAAAACGCTGAATGGCTTCACATCAGACATAATTTGACAAATTTGGCATGCACTTGTTTTCATGAGATGCTTCACGTAGACTTCATAATTGTGCATACTTACAAGTAAAAAATTGTTTTCTTCTGCCTGGTGCATATTCTGTCAAAATGTACAAATTCAAAAATTTTGACAGGGTGTCCTTGAACCGCGATACAAAGGAAGCAGAGATGTTCAATGTGACTATAGTTGTAAAAATAAACTTAAAAATTTACAAAATATACATTTAATTTAATCAATTCCGATTGTTTAATCATCGTTCTAATATTTTTAAGCATTTTGGCCAATAACGCATATTTACACCTAATACAGCGTAGTAGCCGTGGTGATGCTTGCCATGCGCAACTTCATAGGCTTGGCATATTGTACAATAATTACAGGTATTATCTTCCCAGAGAGCGAATATTCCGATCTGCCTTATTTAAAAAATATCATTGTTGCCCACACTAAAACATTTTCTGCATGGGAAAAGGGATATTTCCATACCCCATATTCCATATATGTACACGTATTTAAAAAAAAAACATCTTGCAGAGAACTTATTAAATTTGCAAAAGCCGGAAAAAACATTTTCTTGTAAATAAATTCAAAATTTATATGGCTCACTTCATTTCAAACGTGTTTTCTTTTGATCTGAAAAATTATAAAAATTAAATTGAGCGAAAACAAAGAGCAAAGCCAAATAAAAGTAAAATAATCAACATTGAACTGCGTCAAAATGAAAAGAAGAGAGCACGAATTTCGATGTGAAGCAAAACTGTCTGGGAAGACAATAAATACTGTAATTATTGTACCATGGGCTTGGCAGAGGATCTTCGTTGTATGTTATTGGTGGCAGACTATTATTTTTCTCTTTGCTACTATACAAAGAAGCATTTTCATTAATTTCGCCTTTGCGGAAATAAATTTTATTTTTTAAATCTTTGCGATATTTATGTGGGTGGCAGACGACTTTTGTTTAGGAATTTAGATAGCAGACGATATATTTAAGCTTCTGGGGCCTGTGTAAATTGATAGAAAAGAGGAAATTTTGACGGATCAAAGTTAAAATTTGACATTTCTTGTGATGAATACGAACGTCAGGGCTAGGTAAAATTTTGGCAGCCTTTTCAACATGTATACACATAATAATGCTTGGTGGTAATAAAGAGTGAACATGAAAATGAAAGCTGAAAAAGCACATAAAAAGCGTACGTTACTTGCAAGTTATAAAATAATAATACATTTTATAAATTTCGGCAACACAAAAATAGAGCTTTCGCCAGAGCGTTTGTTTAGTTTTTCAACTGTCAAAATTTTACTTTGCATTTGGCGCAGAAAAATTCAATTTATTTGTACACCATAGTAAATTTTTCCACCCTGTCTCACCACGGAGCAAAAAAGTTACCGATTGGCACAGGCACGATCCAGAAAATAAAGGTCGCGCTATTCGCGAACCGCTAACCCTCTCTTCGTCGATTTGACAGCATCCACCCAATCGCTGATGTCATAAAATACTTTTGTTTACATTCACTGTTGCCAACCTCATGCTTTTCGCACCAAATTTAGTGGGTATTCAAAACGCAAACATTTTTGAGTTCGGTGCTTGGTGCGTTTTTGGTGCTTTTGTTTTTAGTTTGAAGACATCAAATTAGAAAATCTTAAAAAAATGGAAGCAAAATTTATAGCAATCGAAAGTGTAGTAAGCAATTTTACAAAAATTTAAACAAAATCATGGCACAGTGACAATCATAAGCGACAACGAAATATGTGCAGCACCTTCAATCATGCCAGAAGAAATCTACCGTTGTGCAAGAAACATTGATTTTTATTAATTTGAATCGGCATCCTTACAATAAAATTATGTATTCATATAAAGTCCATAAAATACACCAATAAAAATTTGGTGCTTTATCAAATTCAAAACTTGGCAACACTGCCTTTTGTTCGATGCTTCCTCTTTTTCTTGTCGAGTTCGTCTTGCTCTCTCATTGTGGTATATTTTGGCGTCACGGCCAGTTGATCTCAGCTCGATTGGCGCAATCTTGTATTCTATCATTATTGGGCACAGGCCCTTATATGTCAAATGATACGTACAATAAGTTTGTCGTATGCGGCTATGAATATTTATTTTTTATTATTATTATTATTTTATAATTATTATCAAAAGGCTTGTATAATATAAGACTTAAAATAAAAGTCTTTCAAGTCTTAAACATATTTATCTCAATGATAATTATTATAAAAAAACTTAGGTAATATAAGTCTTAAAATACAATTCTTTGAAGACTTAAAAATATAATTAATATAATTTACGCTTTCCGAAGTACTATTAGAAAAGGTGTAGTGAACCCGTACGGCGTTAAAACGCCCAAAATTTTATTTCAAAGTCTAAAAAGTACTACAGATGTTAGTCGGATTTATAAGCGATCCGAGTGCCATTGTTCATCTAAATCCATACAGCCGTTTCTGATACTATACCGATAAAAAAAGTTCTTAATAAAAAAATTAAGCTTTATCGCACATTTACAGGCTAAGGTCTTTATTTTGACCGCTCATTTTTTAAATTCCAAAGAACGGGGCAAATCTAATGACTATCGCAAAGAATACTTTCTCGAATAATAAACATATAAATATAATTAGTTACATCGATATGACTTTGCGAAAAGGTGGCCAACCTAATCCAAGATATTTTCAAACTGAAATTGCATAAATTTCTATCGACTGACACCCATATCTCAATATTTCATAAAACTTGTGTATAAGTTAACCAAATTCGCCTTTTTACGCAGGCCCTCTTCAAAAGTATTTTAAAGCTTAAACCTTGATAACTCACCTTCGTCTGATTAATTAATTGATGAATTAGGTTCAATTTGATTTTTTTAACATGTGGCAACCCCGGTATATGTAGCTCAGAAATGTAAATTTTTCAAACCCCCTAACACTGACACCAGTATTTAAATGATTCATTTGTCTTATTAAATTATTTTGAAACAGGTGGCAACCCTTTTCCCAAACCTAAAAAATATTCTGAGTGTTCATCCTGAAGACTTCTTAATACTCTTTGACATTTGATATTTGATATTTTTTAATATAACTTTTACATATACATATCAGTTAACTAAATTCGACATTTTATGCAAGTGGCAACCCTCTTCAAAATATCTTCAAACTACTCCCTTCTGAAAACCCTTTCGTTTGGTCCCCATATGGTGATACATATTTCTCTAACCTAATTCCCCTATTTCAAATTGAGTTTGAATTTTTAAACAAGTGGCAACCCTCCCATAGTTAAGTTAAGAAGCCAAGCTGGTACTTAAGTGAACATAATTATTGATGTAGTTACATCTTCTTGTTAACTTACATCAATAAATCCTTGAATAAAACATAAACATTCAATGAAGGATACGTAGTTTAAAACAAAGATCGTAGCATTATTTAAACACACAAAAAAAACTTCTTGTGATTTTTCTAGAGAGCTACAAACAGCCCTTAAACCTAAAATTTAGTAGAACACTGAAAAAAAAACTCATCAAAATTTCAAACTTTTTTCTCAGAAGTGTTTATAGCCCATTCAATTTTAGTGTAATAATTAGCAAGTTTTAAGTGGATAAAAATTTCCGTTGAATTTTTAGAATTTTTTATGCCGGACGTGTTGCGGGAGTACTTAAAAGGGGAAAATTTTAAGTACATGGTATATGGGATACGCAAAATTTAAGTACTTAGGCGGGTTGGGTAAATAAGCGGGGAGTACTTAAGAGAGGGATTTTCTTCAGATTCAAAATAAAATATTCACGGTGCCCAAAAATAAGTAACCAACATTTCAAGCGGTTTAGGTACTTAAGCGAGGGGTACTTAAGCGGGTTTCACTGTATATGATACTAAGAAAAGCGTTAACAATTTCAATTTATTGAATTAAAATTTGTAAACAACATATAGAGGCTTATGTATATGGAACACAGAAAGCTCTCACATGACATTTGGAAAACATAACCGCGTGTTATTAAAAATAAATTCTTCAGAAACTTACCTAGAAACGGGTACATGAATTGCAATATCGAAAGAAGGTAATATCCGTATTTTCCGTAGGCCGCTTCCATAATTCCAGGATAACTAAATCTCCCGCAAATGTGGCCACATCTCACCTGCAATAATTTATAATTCTGTGTTAAATAACTGCAATTTCCGCATGAGCATTATCAGTAAGAAAAAACTATCCAACGCTCTTATATAAGGTATTTACATAAATCCATCCCAAGCAACCACCCAATAAATATTTTTGTTAAATCTCAATTTGAGATGCATTTGAGAATCAGTCCTTTTCTCAAATCTCAAACGTTGATTCTCAAATGCATTTCAAATAACCGTTGATAGCGTTCTCAAACTAAAGGCAATTTTTTAATATGAAGTTTTCCTTTATTTTCTAATTGAGAAATGTTGAATTCTCAACTTTTTCTCAAACGTGAGTAGAGCGGAACGAAATGGAATCCAGTTACTCTCATTGAAATATTTGTATATGTTGCCAATGATACGTGTAAGAGAAACACAGTTTTCATAGGAGAGGAATTTTTAGTTATGCAGTTTAACAGTTTATTTAATAGCGTATTTATTCAGTTAGTTTAACAAAGAAAAATACGGTTGATGTAAAAAATTAGTTGCATAGTTAGTTTTGAAATTAGACAAATTGCGAATAACAGCGACCACGTGGTCGAAGAGCAATTTTGCGACTGATGTAGCAGACTACCGATGGACTTCGACATCTGTGCCATGTTGACACAGATGAAACGGAACGGAATGCTAACAAATTTTTTCTCAAATGTTCTTAAATTGATAAACAATGTTTGAGAAAAATTTGAGAAAACGTATAAAATATTCTCTATTGATTCTCGTTCGTGAACGAAAAGCATAAAGCAAGCCCAGATCGTTCGCGTTCGAGAATTTTAGGTAGATTTTCCACTGTTGTTCGTACGCGTATGTATTGGTGGACTAAACAGCGTGCGTTCATATATGTAGCTAAAAGCTGCATCGATACGTTCGCGAACGTTCACTGCGTCAAACATTCGCGTAAAGTTGGTGTGGCTAGATATACTCTGGGCTATCGCTGATTCCGAATATTCTTAAAATCTACAAAATCTGAACACCTACGAACGAAGCATACACTTTGAATGTATACTTTCGTAGCAATTCGGATTCAGTGATCGAATTTTTGTAGATGTTACAAAATTTCGGACTACGACGGAATCAGCGATAGCCCAGACTATTCTATGCAAAGAGCAATTTTGTTAGTTGCATAAGATTTGCACCGTTCATTCGATTTTCAAAAATGTATAGTTATATTTTTGAATAGGGCTCCTGCTTATAAAATTATGGTATTTACACCGTTCGCCCGATTTTCAAATATGGGGTGTCAAACGAAGAGGATTGGCCAACAGATGGGAAAGGAGGGTTTATTTTTACAAGTTTTTATTTAACTTTGGTCATCCCGCGGAAATTTCTAATCGATTGAGCATACCGAAAATATTTTGCGGTTTATCATATGTATGTATAAGCATACTGGGCCCCCGCAGATATTGCTGACCTTTCTTAAATCCGCCACTGTGTATATGTAAGTACTGTGACCTTATTTTATATTTTTTATACCTTTCACGAGCATGAAATGGTATTATAACTTTGGCCCGGTATTTGTAATATCAGAATAAGAATGGAAATGAAAAGGTATACTTATATTACCGGAGCGTCGAGCTGAGCCGATTTATCCATGTCTCTGAGTTTTCGAGATATCTGACTGAAATTTGGTAAGTGAGTGTATTTTTGGAATGTTTTAATCATTTGTCGGAACCGGAAAAATCGGACACCTATACTATATAGCTCCCATACAACTGATTGTTCATGTATGCGATTTTTTGTTTATAACTCCCCATTTGTGGAGCTTGGAACATGAAATTTCGCACTATTTTCACCCATTATCAAAAGAATACTTACAGTAAAAATGGCAAATATCGAGTCGCTATAAGCTTCAGCCTCCATACAACTGATTGTACAGATAGGAAATTTTTTGTTATAACTTCTCCATTTATGCAGCTAAGAACATGAAATTGCGCACTATATTTACCCATTATCAAAAGAATACGCACAGAGAAAATCGCAAAGATCGGGTCGCTATAAGCTATAACCATCATACAACTGATTGTTTAGATATGAGAGTTTTTGTTATAACTTCTCCATTTTAGCAGCTAGAAATATGAAATATCGCACTATCTTAACTCATTATCTGCTAAAAGTTTACAGTAAACATGACAAAGATCGGGTCAGTATAACCTATTTCCTCCATACAACTGACTGTTCAGATATGGGGTTTTACTGTAAAACTTCTTTTATTTGGACAGCTAAAGCCGAGGAATTTCGTGAGCTATTTTATAAATAAAAATTGTGAAAGTCGTCGAGTTGTGTAGACCGCGCTCTTTGGAAATTCAAAAAATTCGCAGTATGACGGACTCCTGCGGTAAATGCGAAAAGCAGTTCGCAATAAATTACTCTAACATAGTGCCTCGTTGTGGATTTTGTAATCTGCGTTTCCATCGCTCCTGTTGTTACGGCCAGGTCCCTGAATATGATCTTGGATTGATTAATCTCAATAGCCATATTTGCTATTTGTGCTCTTCGTGTATAAATACATCTAAATCGATTTGCCAAGCTTTCGATTAGCTCTAAACATGCAAAAGCAAGGTTTCGAAAAAGTGATAAATGCTATTATTAAAAACTCAGATAAATTAAACCACACAAAGTATCGCCATTAGCAAAAACAACTCTCCATGCATTAAAGCCTTGGCTGCCGAAAACTCGAATTTGGACGAACCAAAATAAATATTAAACCGGCTGACTGTCAACGCGCGCAAAAAGATGGGAGTTGGATGCCTTTTCGCTTAGCGCTTCAGCTGCAACGATCTATATGGCATGCTTTGTGCATTTTCATACAATTAATCTTATCTGTCAAAGCGAATCTGTCACGCAAAGCGAAGCAAAGGTTTTATCTGGCATAAGCTTAAATGCCATCTTGCCAGGACTTCAAAAATAAAAAATCAGATCAGAGAAATAGATCAGCCAAATAAAAAGCTAAAAAAAGCTATATGGCCCAAAAAAAGGTTAAAAAAGGCCAGCCGTTTCAACATTTCATTAACTCTGTCATACGTATGTACAAAGAGGTGGTAAAAATGTACCACCGGGCAACAAAAACGTAAATATCTCGACTTACGATCATGAAATTTCATGAAAGCCTTGTGCAAATATTTTTGCACACCACATCGTTTAATAAAACCATTTTAATAATAAAGGCAAGATAATAAGAATAATAAAGACAAGAGAAAGTAGTGACAAAAAAATTGTTGTATGCTTTTAACCAGACCCACTTGCCGCCACATATTTCGACCCACTGAATCCAAATCTGAGGTCCGCTTGACTCGTTTTTGTCATTTCACAATTTTCGCAATTAACTCCAAATTTAGGAGGTGTACGAGTCAAATGGACCTCAATACATGTCGATATGTGGGTCTGGTTAAAAGCAGATACCACTTTTTTTTTTTGTGTGGGCCAGTGTTATCGAAAGTATGGCAAGAGATTCGTTTTCCAATTATTTAAGATGTTTTAACAGAGCCAAATGTCCACATGACTGGTACCTCTTCTTCTATGTTGTATATAAATTTCAAAGCGATTACCAGTAGCTCACCCAAACAAAATATACATTAATTTTTCGGTTTTTTGAGTTATGACAGTATTGAAGTATATGCCTATGGGGTAATTTTTAAACATTTATCAATGTTATTGAAAAAAAAAATAAAAATTTTACCTACACAAGTTTTTAAAACGTCGATACTCTTTGGTATTAGCGATATTTACTCAGTACTTGTCAAAAAGTATCGAGTCCTCGATACTACTCAGTACTCATGAAAAGTATCGATTTTCTGTACTCAGTACTCGTATCGTTCTATCACGAAACATATCTGACAAGAGTTTCACACCTGAGTCACTCATGGGGGCTATGCTACAAAGCAACGAAAAATGGACGGCAGCAAGTGACGTAATAGCAGAGGTGCTGTAGGGGCTAAGGACCCCCGAATGGCTACGGCATAGCAGCGGCGACTAACTACCTTTCTCCTACACGATGTGGTGCTTGACGTCATTCCCGTGGGGTGCGGAGTTTCCTGGTTTTATAGGGACACTTGAAAGCCCTTGAAAAAACTGTTAAACGGAGCGACGACGACGGGTGGTATTCGCTTAACTTTTCGTCAGGTAAAACTGAACCGGAACAACAATTTAGTGCAACTACAAACATTTTGGAGGATTGTCCTTAAATAATTGCTAGTTTGAAAATAAAAATAAAGCTAGAAAAAGGCCACGAAGCTAAATCCTAAATTGTGAAGCTAAACGACAAAGAAAAAAAGCTAAATCTACCCTTAAGAAAGCTAAACTGGCAACTGGTCGCCAATGACAATATATGTAGTTCCGTTCCTTATAATAATAATAGATTGGCGCTTACACATATGTTAGTGTTTGGCCGAGCTTCTCCTCCAAATTGTGGCGTGCGCCTTGATGTTGTCACACAAAGCGGAGGGACCTACAGTTTTACGCCGACTCCGAACGGCGATTGTATTTTAATGAGAAGCTGTTTTTCATGGCAGAAATACACTCGGAGGTTTGCCATTGCCTGCCGAGGGACGACCGCTGTTAAGAAAAAACCTTTTCTATATTTTTATGGGATGTTGCTTTGACCAGGGCTTGAACCCAGGTGCTGATGAGTGAAAGCGCGCACTGCTTACCACTACACCACAGCGGCCGTTCCTTATCTCCCAGAAATAGTCAGAAAAAGTCCGAAGTAGTCAGATTTAGTCCAAAAAGCGTTCCTTAACTCGAAAATGACAGCAAAAATGAGACAGCAACACTCAGTGAGAGTGACTCTCTTCAGTCCGAAGTAGTCAGATTTGGCAGAAGAATTTTTGCTGGCAAAATTTTGAAAAGTGTCAAACTCAACTGAAATTAAATTAACGGAAATTAAAGAATACGCAAAACGTGAGAATAATCTAAAAAGTAAAAAAAGTGAATTCAAATAAGAAGGAGGCAAAAAATTATTGATATACATAGTGGCTGCATT